TTGAATAATATAAAACTGCTAAAAAAATAATAAGGGGAACACCTTACCTGACTTAATCTACTTCTTAATACCACCAGTAGCATATCGTAATTCTAGTATAAAGAATGTCAGCTGGCTTGCTTTGACCAACCAATCAGATGATGGAAAAGCGTTGACTTCATCGAAAGCCAGTGCTTGGGCCGTGACAGTTCCATTGCTGATATGGTTCCATTGCTGATATGGTTCCATTAGGTTAGCACTACTGATTCTGAAGTACTGGGCAGATTAAATTGACATGGCAACACTTAGAAAATGAAATCTCATTGGACTAAAATCTCTCTCTCTCTCTCTCTCTCTCTCTCTCCATGCCTTAATTGACACAATTGGTGGCTACATTTTTCAAAGCTAAATATGCAAGCACACAACAACCCTTCCAGTGGGCATGAAAATATGTAGATAAGGTGTGCAAGAGTTAAAACGCTCACAACCTACTGATATGTCTTTAGTGAGCTGACATTCACACCGCATCATTAAGCGCACCACACACATACCTAAGGTCCCATATGCATGACAATGATTCAACCCCGGACCGAAACTGACGAGAGAGGCATGGATGGGGGTGATAGCAGAGACCAGGTTTCAGGCTTGTGTGTGTGTGTGTGTGTGTGTGTGTGTGTGTGTGTGTGTGTGTGTGTGTGTGTGTGTGTGTGTGTGTGTGGGTGGGTGTCAATCATAAAACATAAAAGAACTTTTGAGTGACATACAGTATAATATAAGCTTGGCTGCTGTAGATAGTGAATTGGCAAAAGAACAGAAAAAGTGAGATAAACTCGTGCTTGGATCAGACAATGACATAAAATATTAGAAAGCAGAATGCTGGTTTGACTGGCAGATTCTTTGACAAATGTAAAGTGACTGACAGAAATTTATAATATATCATATCCACAGGAGAGAGATAGAGAGAGAGAAACAAAAATAAAAAGAAATGGACCTGAGTGAAGATGTTTACTAGCACATTAGCTTCTTGAGCCACTAATCAGCTGGCCGCTGACTGGGTACGTTGCAAAATGCTCGACGCTTATGACCAAAAGGTAGAGTTGTAAATTGCATTTGTGGTGAATATCATTTTATGAGACGTATAGGATCAGTGACAGGACATCCATTACCTGTCTTCATTCGTCATTAAACCTCAACTGCTTCATGATTTTCCACTGATCAATATTAGACTTCTTATCACTATATGTAAATAATCCTGAAATTCTCCCTAAAACACTGCTCTCAGTTCTTCATCCCAAAAATTCCAACGTGACAATTAACCTGATAATTATTTCACGACGCATAATTTAATTTTGCTCTTCATTACAAAGAGTGAAGTAGCAAAGAAGAACCTGGCTGCTTTAGAAAATCCTTCAGCGCATACACAAGAACAGTGCCTTTAAACTGTCAGCAGGCTTTCGCAAAGCAATATAAGCTTTTGTGTCGACTTAACATTCAAATGATAGCTGAGAAATAAAAACGTGTCATTTACATACACTGTATATTATATAATCATCTCAATAACATGCCAGGTATTTTTTTCTAAGTCTGTTTAGTGCTGCAGGATTAAAAAAAAAAACCTACTGGATTCAGTACGAAGCTATCAACTCAACAGTCGCTGTCAGGCAATAATAAGTTCACTTAATCAAATGTTTAGAGCCCATAGATAAAACCGACTATGTGTTAATAAAGGGCAATTAACTTTATTAATGGAAGAGGGCGCTTTTTAGTTCATCATCGAGCCAGAGGATCTGGCACTCGTCATCACATACAGTTGAGCTTTTGTGCTTCATCTTGACCACATGTGTAGCAATACTGAAACTTTTATACGTTTGTAAGTGCTGTTTAAGTGTCAAGCAGCTGGCTCAGTCAAAACTATTAATAGAAAGGCAGACCGGACACACATACGCATACATACTTACGTGTGTGTGTGTGTGTGTGTGTGTGTGTGTGTGTGTGTGTGTGTGTGTGTGTGTGTGTGAGCATGTAGGGGCGGGTAGCACCTGTCATGTTAAGCAAACCTTGCAAAGACGTGACAGAGCTCCATGGCCGGCAGTGCAGATCAGAACTAATGCACTGGCTAATGTGACAAAGTGTGAATTGACAGGCGGGGGAAGAGGTCTTAATAAGGCTAGATGGATGTGCGGAGGATGGGAAGTGAGAGGAAAAAAAGAAAAATCATCAACAGTGACAGCGGCAGGAATATTCGATGGGCTGCAGAATGGACATGAGCCAAAGTTGGTTGTGATTTAACAAAGCCTTGAAACAGTCAACATTTTACATTTACTCCACGATATCTTCAATCTAACCGCATTTACCACATCTTTTTAAGTTTGAGCCGAGGATAGCGCACTCTTCAGAAGCGTAAAGGTCAACTTGAAAGTCCAACTGTTCAAAAGATTAGTGCGAGTCAGTCTGGAAAACGGCGATATCATCTCATGGCTTATCCTCCTATAGAAAGGTTGAAAAGTTGGCGAGAATGAAACGATTCTGACCTTCCAGTCCTTTGGAATTTTAAGGAAACTTAAATGATTTATTATCCGTGCCATGCGTGGACAATAACAGCATGAAGGACAACCATGAAAAATTGTCTAACCTCGTAAAACATGTCCTGACACACATCGATTACACGGCTGCTGTCTCATGTACGGCTACAGAATTAATTGCAACTAAAAGTCGCAGTTTCCTTAACACTGAACGTTACAGACCAAACCGGGAACTGAATCATTCGATATGTCTGTGGATTTTCTGCGCTGTCTGTTTGAAACAATGTTCGTTTTTTTTGTTTTTTTTTAGCTGATTGGTCAAATTGAGAAAATAATTGACAGAATAATGAATTTTAAAAAATCGTTAGTGAGCAGCTTTAACATTGAAAATGTGCAGCTAGTCCATGTAATAGGTATCGGAACCAGTATTGGCTAAGCTTATTCATCGATGATTGATGTTGGAACCTGATTGGAACACCCCTACTATTCAGTACTGTTTCGACCGAGCAATACGGTTCGGTGTACCTTTTTGCCCCTTCCATTCTCAAAAATCACTGTAAAGGGAAATCATATATTTATTTCAAAAGACATGTTTGGAAAAAAAAAAGCATTCCAAAAACCTCCAAAAACTGAGAACTATGTAGTACTGACAATGGGATGTAGTTGGTTGAAGAAAGGGGAAAAAAAAGTATATTATAGTGCAAGGATTTAAAGTATTGTTTGTTTGAGGTTAATGTGTTTCATCACGACCACTTTGTTTACTTTAGTGGTGCATAGAAGAAAGAGAAAGGGGAAAAATAAACCCAAAATGGTGTACACTGTAAACACAAAAGCATTGCATTGCTTGCTGGAAATGTAGCTAGATACAAGAGCTCGCCGTTATCAAGTCTTAATTTGAATACCCAGCCCCCATTCCCCCCCAAAAAATAGCTGTATTTATAAACATACATAGAGAGCTTTATCACAAAGAACACCATGCGAGTGGGATTCTTTGAAACGCTTTGAAAAGACAGAATGCGTTTATCGTGAGTGTTTGCCGTGATTTTGTGTACTATTTAAACAGCCAAATTCCCCAGCTATTGCTTTGTGCCTTTTATCTCTTCCATATCGTTGGGTTTTGTCATTGGTATTGTTTGTTTGATGGAAAAATGGGTGAAAAATAAGCACTTTGGAGATAAGCTGCGAGTACGAAGACTAATAATGAAAGTGTCAAGAGGGAGCCGAATGCATCTCTCAAGGTCTGAATGGACAAAATTGATTTCAATAGACAAATAAGGGTGTAATCTTTCTATCAAAAAAGTCCAAACACAATGGGCGGCTAGAGATTTAAAAACTGTCAAATGAGCAATTCCCCTTGCAACTAACCACAGATAAAAGACTCTTGGGCAGCAAAAGATTTGTGGCAAATATTGAAAGGATTTTCATCCTTGTTCTCACATGAGTGGAAATATCACTCGCCATTTTCTACACTTCAACGAGTGGGCATATTCCGACAAGTGTTACAACAGTAAAGGCACAGGTGCCGTAAAGTGTCATGGTGATTATTATTCTGACTAATTAAATTTTCATTAGCACACAGTTATTGTTTGGGCATTATTGAACTGTCGAATTTATTTAAAGGGGAAGTCAACCCCAATTTTTTCTTGACAAGAATACATTCTATGCAGCCCCACTAGCCTAAAAACGACACTCTGATTCATATTGCATTTGAGGACAATGAGTTCAGCAGTAAAAGCCACCTATTTTTGTGCATCTCAGGGAGCGGCTATTTTGCCACTTGCCGTCGACTGAAAATGACATCACAGTTGATCAGGGCGCCGGTAATTATCAATTATGACTCAGCTTGAGAAAACAGGTGCGCTGTTATTGGTCATTACCTGAGCCCCGAGCAACCGTGATGTCATTTTCAGTCGACAGAAAGTGTCAAAATGGCTGCCTCCTGAGATGGATTAAAATGGGTGAATTTTGTTGCTTAACTCCTATTCCACAAATGTAATATTAATCAGAAAATCTTCTTTAGACTAGTGAAGGTGTGTAGACTATATTGTTGGGAAGAAAATGTTGGTGTTTACTTCCCCTTTAAGGCTAGCAGCGACCAGGGTTAGCCTCATTTCATTAGCTTTTGGCTAACCTCGTTCTTGTCTGCTAGCTCCCACTGCGAATGCAAGAGCGCTATGCCACTGGAACATGCCAACGGAACGACGCCGCGTCTGCATTTGTCAAACATACATCGCAATTATCTATGAACTCTTTTTTTGGCTGATTTTCAACCAGTTTGCGCAATTATGTGACCCAGGATTTTTAGAATATCGGTCACAATCAGTGCTACGGGAACATCAAGTGAGCGTTCTGTGATTTCCCAAACAAAATACGGACAATATGTAACAATCAGCAGCTGTGGTAAGTTAATATATTTTCACACTCGTGTGACAGTAATGAAGCTTCTATAAAAGTGCTTCTCTCACAGGCCACCACCCACACAGGAAGCTTTTCGCCTACCTTCCTGGCTTGCTGGACACAGGTCATGTACTGTTTGGCCAAACTGGAGCAGTGCAGGGTTTGCTGGGGATTTTCTCTGTAACACTGGAGCACCTTGGCCTGCAGCTCAGTGCACACTGACGCGGTCTGCCGGGGCCTGCGCACACACATCCACACGCGCACATCAACAGCATGTGGAGAGTATTCCAAGAAAAAAAATGGCTTGTGTGTGCTACCTTTCAAAGTGAGTCCCTCAATTAGTTCAGAAGTTGTCTAAGTGACAATTTGTTGGCGCTCTCACTTTCGTAAGAAGACAATATAATGCTCATACTTTTTTTTTCCCCCCTCAGTACATGCGAGTGAAATACACACCTGCTTGGTTGCTCATTGTCTTTCATGTGTGCTTGTGAGAGAATTAGTAAAACATGGATTGAACACACTTTTGAGGATTTACACATGGTGGTTAAAGTGACACAATTCAGACATTTACCCCAAATGATACCATGAGGATACGTGACGCGATAGCGTAAAGAGAAAAAAGCCGATACAAACCACTGTCTCATTACAATGGTGACAAGTGGAATTTGTGTTTAATTAGATCCGGAGCTGCGTGGCTTCATTTGATGTCATGTGACAAGCAGACTTCCTTCTGACCAACATTTATTTACATACTCTTATCTGCCTGTACAAACACTGGCGTTCCGAGTAAAGGAGCGCTTCCCTCATGGCATCACACGGAGCAATTTCCAAATTATGCATCTTTCACACATGAAGGAGCGCAGGTCTCCCTGCATTCACTGACAAATACACACAATTAATTTGTTAGCATGCGCCCGTGAATTATGTCTGTGCGGCAGATAAAGTGTACACACTGAAAGGGGTAAGAAATTGCTCTGCGGTGGCATGTGCATTGCGCGTTCGTGTGTGTCTGCGGGTGTGTGCGCGTGTGCAGTGGAGGGGAGAGAAACAGGATTAAATTAATCATTGGAGGAGAGAATATTCATGAAAAGAGAAGTGAGTGCAACCTGAGCGGAGGTGAGAAAGAGAGCGAGGGGTGGAGGAGTGGAGGTAAATGTGGCAGTGACGTATTAAACGACAAACCCTTTCAGCATTGCACAGCCCTTAGGAAAAAAAAATTGCACTTCACATCTGCTACATTCTTTCATGCACTTCTTGGCCTCATCTGACAAGGTCATTCAGCAAGGACGTTGTCCAGGAGCTACCCTATACAAATTGTGTTGAAAATAACAGTAAATTTGTAGGTTTGTGAGGTATTGGCTGCATGTAAAAAAGACGTTCTTTTGAACGTCCCTGATAATGACGATGCTCCCGAATATAACACGGTCCACTAAATGGGTTTTTATGGAAATGCTGTATGCTCAAAAGCTACGGCAGCCATATGCCCTGACCCTCAGTCTCTAGATCTGAAATGGAATTGGAATACTCGTGGAAGCACTGACGTACGTGCGAGATGGTATTGTTGTGTTAAAATGCCAAATGATGAAATGCAGAGCGAGAGAATGCATTCACACATATCTATCAGTCCATTTTGTTTTGCCTCAGCACATCCCATATTGACAAAATCCTGCTCAGGTTTGTGTTTCTTCCACGGTGAGTTTAAGATGCAGCTGTGTCAGCTGTGTAAAAAGTCGAACATTTCAATGCTAAACACATCACTCTACAAAACCATGCGTTGTGGTGTTTGCACTCATAACACTTTGAGTTAGGACTAAGTGTATAGGTACTGGAGTACAGTACAGTATTGCATTATCCGGCAAAGGCTTAAAAACCTGTCTTCCAAATACTTGTGCAGGAGTAGATTATTTTGACATTAGCATTCATGTGAAACCTTTCCAAGAGTTATGCCATGTACTGTTTCTTTCTGTTTCCACTTCAGTTTTTTTATAGCACAGAAGTGATGATTCTTTGCAGTCGTAATCAAAAGAGCACGACACAAGTAAACCATATTGTGCTACCTGCCGCAAACAACACTCCAACAAAAGGATATTGAAAAGTGAGATGTGGGTAGGATATTTTGGGATCCTTTACAATGGAATCGACTGCTTGGTGGAAGCAGGGTTTTATATTCTACAGAAAAAATAATAAAAACAAGTGACAGACTCGCAATGTTTCAATGACAATGAATTCAAAGATCACAATTCTCGTCAGTACGTAAGATGAAGACTCTATGAAAGGAAAGAGCGAGACAAGACAATTCTCCCACATTCTATGCGTCACACCGGATGATGGCACTGACATCAGCATCTACAGAAATGATCTAATTCATTGTGCGATTGCGCAAAAGCGCACGCAGTTGCGGCGATATCAGGAATACCTGTAAACGCACGGGCAGATGAGCGCCGTAAATGTTGTTGAGGATCTGATCTGTGTCTGGAGGGGGCAGAGGATGAGCCCTGATATAAGGTAACACGGTCTAATGCTAACAATACAGCGATGATGTTGATTGATGGAGTTTTTGTGTTTAGTCGTCTGAAAACCTTTTGGAAGAGTTTATATAGCACGAGGATGATTACACCAGGGCTTGATGTCTGACTTTAGATTCTGACAGTTGTTCAGCATTCTGAATGAATCACTAAAAGGAGGCGATAACAGCTACAATAGCCCCAAGGTAATAATCCGAGCTCAAGTGAGGGACGGGGGGGACTAATTATTTTCTCTATTCATGAAGAGAAACTTTATGACAGCAGGAGTGTTCTAATAATGGAATCTGAAGCAGAAAATTGTCTCCGCTAATCTGCAGCAAGTGCCTCGTTTGACTGAAATTAAAGGTGAGCTCTTATTAGAAAACTATTAGCCGCTTGGGCTTGTTTGACAGTGACAATTTTGCACCAAAAAGAAGCAAAACAACACTCCAGTGGCTGTCTGCCTGTGATGTTTTGCATAAATATGTGCAGAGTTAGGGGAAGAAAGATTAGGCTCCAATCATTAAAGTTTCCCCATTCTTATTTGTCTCACCTTGGCAGCGTGTGGTTGATGCAAAGAGAGCTTAGGTTCTAAATTGCCACAAAGCGTGACATTGGGGAATAAAGCAATAAGAGGGAAAGGCAAAGACTGTTAAGGCGTAACATTTTATTATTCCTTCTTTGTCTAAGTTGGTGCTGTTTGTGTGGGAACGGTTATTAACGTAAGATGACAAGGATTTGTGCTCCTTTAAAGCAGAAGCCGTGGCTTTCTATCTTCCATTTTTAATATTACGCTGAGTGAAGGGGAAGAAAGGAGAGGATCAAAGATGTCAGGGCTCGGGCGAGATTAAAAGGAATTAGGGTGCACGCATCTTTTATTGTACAAAGCTTTGAATGGAAGTTAGACGATAGTGTCATAAGGATAACATTGGCAACAATACGTGCCAGTTATTAAAATTCGCACTCGCAAACGCCACATCGCATCAGTGGCTAATACTTAGTTCCTAAAGCCATCTGAGAACTGACACAAAGTACGTTAGGGTGCTGCGAGTGACTTATTTTAGGGAGTCCAACTGAAATATCTCTGATTACTCCCACTCTTGCCAAGTGATGCACTTGCTAAATGTCAGTCTCCAACAAGTCTCATGTTAGACTGCCAGTGCAGGATTTGAGCAGGTAATAGAAATGTTCTGCTGCGGGTCTAAAACGTTGAAGCCAGCAAACATTGTGAATGAGTGGCCAGATTGATTAGTGATGCAGTTTTGCTGAGGAGTGCGCTGCATGTTAAAAAAAAAAAAAAAAAAAAAATGCCTGCAACTTTGCACAAGCAGCGGCACATTTTAATATGACATCTTTTCAGCAGATTTTCAGCCTATTCTTCTTTTGTTATTTGGTAATACTGTATTTTATCGAGTTTGACAAAGTTGAATTGTTAGAGTCGGAGATGTCTAATTTCAACTATGGTCATTTGGTTTTGCTATTGTGGCTGCATTTTCAGCGGAACTGCAGATGTCACAGTTTAATATGTTTTCTGATTACGTTTGTGTTGCCGTATATTTTGGGTTTAACACATTTTGTATTTAAACGTCCAATGGGGGTCTAACTTAACCCTTAAGGCATTTAAAACCGACAATATGGATGTCTCATGGACCGTAGGAGTGCGGAAAGGAGATAGCAATGTAGGAGGACAATTTGCACCGTTAGCTGCGCTGATTGATCCCCACTAAACTCACTTTGAGGGACTGTAGGGAAGTGCGATGATGGAAGGGGATAAGAAGAGGGTTTCATTAAAACAGGTGACATTCAGGAACAAGATAAGGTGCACGTGTGCCCGCCTGTTTGCGTGTGACATCTATTTGCTGATAACATTTCAATCAGCAGAACTTCAGTGGTCGAACGACTCACTCAAATTGTGGCTGACGCGAGCAAGACTATCTGGCATCACTTGCCTTTTTATTGTCAAGCATTTCAATTCCATGGGTTGACGCTGGATTTTAAGCATCTACCCTTGGAACAGTGCCTTCGAAAAGTTGCTGAGATATATAAAGCATTCTATGTCATCCGTTATGAAACGCAGTGACAATTGTACATGTCCAATTTCCCCAAAATAATTCTTATCTTTTTTATATACAACACAGCGTGTGTGTGTGTGTGTGTGTGTGTGTGTGTGTGTGTGTGTGTGTTATTTTGAAGGGCAATGTGGTGAAGTACTTCAGGGTGGCGGTCACCTCTGAGACGCGCTACCGACACACACCCAATAAAAAAGTTGCCATGAATCCGCATGAAGGTGCTTTTGCTGACGGGAAGACAAGTCAGGCCAGCCGCAAGAATTGTTCATTGTACACATGACGGTAACACGCCTCCAATGCACTGCGAAGCCGAATTGCAGAATAAAAGCCTACCAAACAATACATGAAAATATTTTTGCAGGGTTAAAAAACTATTTTGAATACACAAGAGAAAATGAGGGGGTGGCCCAGTGGTTAGCGCGTCGACCTCACAGTGCAGAGGTCATGGGTTCGATCCCGGCTCCGGCCTTCCTGTGTGGAGTTTGCGTGTTCTCCTCGTGCCTGCGTGGGTTTTCTCCGGGTACTCTGGCATCCTCCCACATTCCAAAAACATGCATGGCAGGCTGACTGAACACTCTACAATTGTCCCGAGGTGTGCGTGTGATTGCGGATGGTTGTTCGTCTCTGTGTGCCCTGTGATTGGCTGGCTACCGGTTCATGGTGTCCCCTGCCTACTGACCGAAGACAGCTGGGATGGGCTCCAGCACAACCCTTGTGAGGATAAAGCGGTTCAGAAAATGGATGGATGGATGGATATTCAAATACTAAAATATTCAATAGCTGCATGCACTGAAAAATATTGGTCCGTTGAATTTACTCAATCTTATTTTGTCAAGTGATTGCACACAATAAAGTCATCTGGATCCAGATACATTTTTTAACGAGATTATACGTCTACTTTAAAAGAAATTATATTATGCCCCCCTGATTGTGATGAATTTTTTAGGGGCAAAAAAAAAAGTGCATTATTCTGGAGTATTTCATCTTCCTGGCCAAGTTTCGTCCAAATTGACAACATAGGTGAACAAATGCGTTGTTACTCCCACTTTGATTTTCCACTCTTAAATCAAAGCAAGGAACTTGATGAAAACAAAGCCTCATTGAATGCATCAGTTCTAAAAACGCACGCTAATAACAAACATCAATGGAAGAGGACAAGCATCTCTTGTATTATTTCTCTGCGTGTGACTGTTGGTCACAGTGAAGGGAAATTTTTCACAGGGGGAGGGGGGAAGGCAGCAAGAAAACTGAGTGCTGCAGCAAATATTGCAGCATCCAGAGTTAGAACACAGCAGCACTGTTTTTTTTTCTTATTTCTAGCTCTGTCTCATCAAATGTTTCAGAAATGTGGCAATGATGAAACTGCTTGGCCACTTGCGGACCATACGGTATTGGCTTGGCGTGCTTTGAACACCGGTTAACTTGGTCATACGCCAATGGAAAAGTGTCAATGGCGAGGAGAGAGTTTATAATTACTGAAAATTCTTTTGGCATGTTTTTGAGTCGCCTGTCACATTAATTTTTTTTCATTATTTTTGAAACAGACCCTTTAAAAAACAGCTTGAGTGGAAAAAAAAAACAGTTGCCAAGTAGAAATGGGAGCAGCAGAGAGAAAGAAAATGTTGACAAGTGAAAATGACATTATAAAAGATGAATTGAGAGCACAACTTGGAAATGGAGGCCAACACAATGCCAGAAGAAATTACGGAGAATACCGCTCTTCTTAGCCTTTCAAAACTTCACCCATCCTTCTGCGGCGAGTAAATAGAATAATTACTGGATGGTCAGTGCAGTGTGAAATGACAGTGACCACGGCACAATGAAATGCTGACCAAATGCAGACAGAACATGACAAGCACACAGGCGCCTGAATACAGAGTGCGCCCTTATGCGAGATTGTCAACGTTGACACTGCAAAATAATAAATAATAAGCTGAAGAATGTGGTGACACAAACTGCCAGTAAAATTGCACTCAACTGATCCTGTAACCTTTTTTTTTTTCATACAGCAATGAACAGTACCCCAACAAAACCTGCCTAACGTAATCGTGTGGACCGAATTTTGGGCTTGAATTGTGCGAACAATGGGTCAAGTTGAGTGAATAGTCATGAATGCTAATGAAATGCAAAAATGTTAAAGTGGATTTCCTGTCTCCGTTTTTTTTCAGGCATACATTGCATCGGAGGAGGATTATGGACAAATAGATTTCTGCTTATTAGCTGCTACACGATCATCATTGGCACATACACAGAAACAGGGAACATGAACTGGATTGGCCTCTCTCTTCTTTCCCAGAAATGGCTAGACAAGGCAAGAGGGTGAAAACTGGCATTGCCTGCAGACGGGCAGTGCCAATTTGGCAGCAGTTTAAACAGTGGATAAAACAGTTTTTTTTTGTTTTTTTTTTTTTTTTTTTTTAAAGCAGGTGAGCTTTGAGCTCTGCTATCCCACAGGAAAACATGTTCTTTTAGGGACATCATGCTGTTTGTGTTTTCCATCAGCAGACTGCAGCTTCACACTGACTCAACCGTTGAAAAGACCAACTCTGTTGGCATTTTAAATGCTCTGAGCAAAAGACACAAATGACAGGAATCATTCAATGCTGAAAATTAGAAATAGTTCAATAAGTCTATGTACATTCTGGTTCACAGATTGGGGTATCATGTCAGCTTCTCTGCAGAGCAAAGAAATAATATTCTTCACCAGCGAAGGAAATTGAATAACAAGCCAAAGAATAGGATTGGGTATTCAAGAAATGTACTTACCTAACCGAAATCTATCTACTGAGCCATCTAATATAGAAAAATCACCAAATTTGGCCCTACCGTAAAAGGTTGAGAACCTAAGTCAGAGCAGTTACCTGATGTGAGCCTCTGCTTTGGTGGCTGCCTGGTTGTACTCTTCAGCCGTCTGCTTGTAAGCTTCAAGATTCTTGAGGCAAAGACACAGACATAAAGAGGTGTGAGAAACAGATTACACCCGGGAATATGAAATTACTGTTGATATTCTGCTTCTGAAATCACCGTTGCGTACGCAGCTTTTAATAATGCAACTTCTATTGCACATAAGAGAATATTACCGTACGTGTTTAAATTAAAATGAATGAAATGACAATTGGTTTTATGATATAATTTAATATTTGAGCACTAATAAGGTAACAAGATAAGCGAAATGCTAACGCATCCTGAAAAATGTCAAATGCTCCCTAAATTGGAGACCTTTGAATCCACAGCAATACCAGCAAACGGGAATGCCGATGGCCAGCTGATGGGCCACAATGCTTTGTTTCATGTTGGGAGAGTGGCATTTAAACTGCAATTACTGCACAGAAAGAGCTTATGCCATGCGGGCAAGGTCATACGCAGGCCTCCTCGACGGGAGTAATCAGCGGTTGCAGCGTTTCATGTACTACATTCGAACCTTAAACACTCTCAAGAGAATGCAATTCCAAGGAAAAATTCAAAGTCACTTTCCATCTTGTACAACGTAACCAACCATTACAGTCAATTAACCAAAAGATGTGATGTGCTGTACAATTCTGTCAAAATATTCAGGAAAACTATGTCCCCTCAAAAAAAATAAAAAATAAAATAAAATTCATCATCAGTTACAATTAGTTAAAATTTAAATGGTGCTGATCAATATTTTTAAAATATTCCAAAACGGTGTCCCGTGTGGACATCATAATGCCATTGCAACACGTTTTGGGTCATCCCTCTTGTCATCGTCCCACACACAGTCTTAAGGAAGCATTCTCATCTTTAAACAAATAACTGCAGCCCTGGTGCTTTGACTTAATTGTTCCCAACATTCCAATAGACTCGGTGATAGTGGAGGAAGATAATTGAAATAAGTGAGCAGGCAAAGAAATGGGATCAACAAAATGTTCTTATGCTATCCTCCTGCCTTCCATTCTCCCAATTCCCCTTGGTCAATCTCATATCTCTTTATTTCACACTGATCCACAGATCCCAACGTCTGGTGTTGGAAAAGACTTCAGACATTTAAAAGATACAGTTTCCTTAATCCTACCGGCAAGTGTGAACTGCGGTGTAATAGTCTGCCCTCGATACTTCGCCGATCTTCATGAAAAGCCAACAATCTGGTGAATGGTGATATTACAACTTGAAACTATATAGTGCAACCTCACTTTTCGCAGGGGATAGGGAAAGGCTCCACAAATAGCAAAAATTCACATATAACTGACAACCATGCATTCCATTTATTATTTTTTTTAACATTGAAAATCCTCCAAGACCCATTTCCCAAGAAAATTGTCAGAAAAAAATGTTATATACGATTAATAAATGACTTATTTAAATTTAAAAATTTTTTAAATGTGATTTTTTTTTTTTACAAAGGATTAAGTAGGCCTTTATTTTGTAATGTCAACATGCAAAAATCAGACGAAAATTGGCTGATTTTTGCTTATTTGAAAATGGCTATTTAACAACTTTAATTTCTCAGTGCTTAATAGAGATGAAAAACCTTTAATGTTGGTTTATTTTATACAAATTCTATTTTCATTTAACCCCAAAATTTGGGTCAAGATGGAATATCCCAATTTTTTGCAATGCTTTGACCCAATTTTGTTATCTTCATTTAACCCTAAAAAAGTAGGTCAAAACTGAATAACCCATTTTTTTTAGAGTGTAGCAAATGATATTGTGTTCTCTCAGTCCATTCATTTATTTTGCGCTTGTCTTCAGTAAGGTCATAGGTTAGTTGGAACCTGTGGTAGCCGACATTGGCCGAGAGGAGGGGCACACCCTGGACTGGTTACCAGTCAACTGTCGAGCACAAAGACAAATGACCATTCATGCTCACATTCATAACTCCAAAAAAAATTTACAACTTGTCCATTACCTTGTCAAGCATGTTTTGGGATCAAGCCGGAGTATCTGGAGAAAACCCACACATGCATCGGGAGAAGTATTACTTTTTTCCCCACTAGTTTATAACCTTTTCTTTCTTTCTGCTGAAAGTGAAATTTCAGGAAGGGCTGTGTGATTGTGTTGACTGGCAGGTATACAGTCGCTCCTCAGTTGGGAGTATTGGAGCGACTGAAGTGGGGGATGTTTGCATGAAGCTACATTTTGCATTAATATTGTGATTTTTTTTTTTTTTTTTTTTTTGTCTAGCGCAAGAACAGACTAACAACCCATACTCAGGTCTTTGACATCAGAGGAATGTCAACGCTATCAGTAGCACGCACAAAAACCAAGCTCTCCACGGTCATTTGCACATTTGGGGACAAAAGCCCAAGAGAGAGACCGTCAAGGGGAATGATAACCCTCAACAGGAGGAGGCTATGATTTTTTTTTATTTTTTTGGGGGCGTTGGGGGTGTAGGAAAGGCTCACGGAGGGGATTAGTGTGGGTGCATGGGAGATGAGTGTGTGGGTGTAATCTTGCATACATGCAGGTGTCTGACTAAATCTGTATGTGTGTGAACGGTTGTTCCCATGATGCTTGCATGCATCTTCAGACGACACTCCAGCATTTTTGGATTGAGATGGGATGATGTCAGAGTGTGGAGGGAGTGTGTGTTTTTTTTTCTCCACGCTCCCTACTCGGACGAAGGCAGATTTTTTTTTTTTTACGAAGGAAGGCGCCAACAAAACAGGGCAGAGGGGATTAAAAGAGGCGAATTTTAAACCGACACTTGTTTACAGAGTCACAGGCTCTGTTGTCACAGGAAGACATGCTGAACCTGAACAGATTAGGAAGTCCTTCATGAATACACAAGAGTGCCGTCGTGTTAGGCATTGTCTCGTTACGTTTTGGGGTCGTTCCGGTCTTGGGGTATCTACTCGCAAGCTAGCCTCTACAAAGTGGGCGGAAAGGGATTGATATATCACAACTACTTCGGCAGTGACAGTCAAACCTGCCACAGTAAAAACAAATAAACACTTGCACACACTCATTTGTGCCCATGTGGACCCAAAATCCATCTGTAGCCTTTGAGCAAGCACGGTAATCTGCGTTATCGTTTATCCCTTTGGCAAACTCAAACCGCACTGTGTTTGTATCCATCTACTCACACACAAACACACACGTGCACAGAAATGTAAAATGTTGATTCAGTGAAAGATCACACAGCAATTAGTGAGGAAGTCCACAACTAATTTCGTTGCTCTTACCTTTTGACATACGCATATGGGCGAATATGTACCGTAAATTCCTGACGACTAACCACTACTTTTCCCCCCACCTGCTTTAAACCCTGCAGCGTTAATGATGCGACTCATTTACGGATTTTTACAGGCTAACGATCCTCATGCTGCCAATACATTTAAGGCCAATACCAATTCTACCTATTAGCCCTCGGTAGTGTGCATTCACAAGAATGAAGGGGTGTCCCAATTATCTGAGGGCATGGTCTCAGTGACAGTTTGGAGATACAACCCACTAGCTAGCGACACACGGCACTGATGTAAAACCAATTCATGATTTCTGGCAAGCCAAAACTGTGAGCAAGGTAAGAGAAATTCTCTTTACACCAGAAACATGCAGCTAAGGACAATAGATGACAATCTATCACAATTTGCAGGTAACACTTTTTGAGTGAGGATACCAGCGAAACGAGGAACCGGAAAGAATTGCATTTGAAGGGCGATTTGGGGTAGGGTAATATAAACACGTGCGTGTTAATCTCAAGAAATTACAGAAATAATTTTTCAAAAATCTTTATCGGAACATCTTTGCATATAAATAGAAGTATAAGTGTGGCTTATAGAATGAATTTATTATTATTGTTCTTTTTTCTTTTTAATTTAGTGGGTGCAATTTATATTCAGATGGGCTCAATAGTCTGGAAATGACAGTAAATATGCGGAGGTTGTGTATTATTCATCACTATCTCTGGCAAAAATACTGATGGTGAGGGATAGTTGAAATATATCTTTGCTGAAAAATGGATACTAGGAGCATGGATATTAGTTTAGGACAGGAGAAACCTTGATGCTTAGCTCTTTTTCAGCATTTATGAGTGTGACCCAAGACAGTAGATCACAATTGAATTTTTAAGAGGCCATTAATTTCATTTTAAGGGAATTTTCCACAGGTATGGGAGAGTGAAGATAGGCAGAGAAAGGTGGAGAGGGCAGCGAAGGAGACCTGGATGAATTAAGTGCTAGATTGAAAATGGAAGAGAAGAGAAGAGAAGGAGGGCGATAGATGCCTGCTCAGGAGAGACTGTCTGCTTAATTCATAGTCTATATAGCTTCTTTATCTCTTGCTTTCAGTCCCCCTCTTTCTCACTCCCTCATCCACATGCAGGTCAGCTGCGTGCAAGCAAGGGTGGAAAATGTCTAGGAAAGGGGACTGTGGCAGCAAATGCAGAAAGATAGAGCATCCTCCACTCTTCTGCCAATCATTCTCCTCCGTCAAGCATTGCTCGGTGTGCTGCTCGCATGCAGGGAGCCATGCCATCTGACTTAACTATGGAGACGTTTTTTTTTTTCCTCAGTGGGTTAAAGAAAGCTCGTGCCAGGGACCAGATAAGGTCCACTCTGCCTGAGATGGGGCCGTGCCGGAAGGTGCGACAGATGGTCTCAAGTGAAAAACTAAAAAAAAAAAAAAGTGTTGAGAGTGGAAGTAAGGACATAGGATGAGCCAGGGGAAGGGGAGTGGCAACACGTCCCGTGGTACCAATGGAACAAGTGTAATATCTTGGTTCATTACAATTAATGCTAACGAATCAAAATATGCTAACGTATTTAAGTATCAGCAGCAAATTCCAGCAGCGTGAACTCACTGTGTTCAAATCTCCATCAAACGTGTGTATACAGTTTCTATGTTCAATTTTCAGTTATAAAATAAAAAGCAAGGAACGTTAGTTTTCAAAGTGCGCCAAATTTCAAATTTCTGATACCTGTAGCCGGAATAGAAGATCAAAAGTACATACCAATATTGCACAAAATTTTGATCCACCTATTTTTGTGGCTGATTTGACAACTTTTTTTTCCCTCAGCAGTCAACTCTTAAACGTATAAGTTCACACTAGCAATAACTTATATTATGTTTACTTTCAGTCTTTCATTTAAAAAAAAAAAAAAGACCACATTTTGCCTTGACATCTCCTTCTAAAGGCCACCTTTTTTAGAGTGCTTCTCTGTGCTCTCATGTTGCCTTTTTTCGTTCCCATGTGCTGATTTAAGCCTCTTGCATCTTACTTTGTTGTGCATCCATCGCTAAGAGCATGAAATCATACACCAGTCTCAACCCCCGAACCTCACAGCCATTTAACAAATGTACTCGGTAAAATGGAAGTAGCATTTATATAACCACTGTGCTTGTGGCTTTTACAGGGTGCAAAATATGAATGTGATAATGTTCAAGTGGAAAAGAAACATGTCATAATTTTTTAAAAGCATCCAACAAAAAGTATGTCTTTTATTCTTTGGGCCCCATTTTTGAAGAAAGATTTCAGGGTCGCTAGCGAAGGGACAAAGCAAAGCAGTACATTTGATTAGGCAACCGCAGCTCTCCCAGTGAAATGTCTCTTGAGTGCTGGTTTATCGGCACTGAGTTCTGACTCTCACACTCTCATCTGCCCGCTGAAACTTTCAGTTCATTTACATTTTGACTTTGCGACGGAGGCTTGACAATCCTGCGAGAGGGAACAGTGTCTTGTGTCTCTGGGTGAGATTTTACTCTGCGGGGAGTGAGAATTGTTGTGATACTCTCAAGGCATGACGACATCCCTGTGAATGCCTGCACCATTTTTGTCTCATTAGGGGGATAACACATGTCAACATTTCAGAGAGCAGTGGTCTGCCTTTCTTCATAAATCGGGCACAGTTTAGTTGAATGTATTGCAGAAAAGTCCAGACTGTTCCTGTGTAAATGTATTCCTGACACATCTTTTGCACGTAAGACGTTTATCAGTGAAGGACACCTTAATTTGTCATTATAATAATAATAATTGCAATGATGGGAAATAACTTTTTTCTTTACAAATGAGTCATGATGCTTGATTTTTTTTTTTTAAAAAATAATAACAATAATTGCAATAATGGGAAATAACTTTTTTTCTTTACAAATGAGTCACGATGCTTCATTTTTTAAAAATTGAATTATGACTAAAAAAATAGAAAAGGTAATTTGAGAAATTTTCCTATTTCTGAAATGTCTATCACACTAATAACCTTCTGAATTAATCAGTACCCAAGAAGTAGCTTTCACAGCAAAAATAAAAAAATTTGAACATCGCTAGCTAATCAGGTGGCCAGCAGTTATGCTAATACTTCGGCTAATGCTAAATGCTATGTTGGTTCACAGTTCAACAGCTGGAAACAAGTCAATAAATTCAGCAGGTATGCCCATTTCCTCGCTCACCATTTTCTAAACCAGGTCCTCTTTGGCTTGGCCCAGGCCGCTATTGGAAGTTGGATGGGTTTTATAAGTCTTGGGGGAGGGGGCTATCATAACACCATGCAGCAACGAGGTCAAATTTTGAAACGAGCCAATGTGCGAATAAGTGAAACTGACGGTGCTCGCCCCGACTCGCATTGCATCAAACTCGTCACACCTGTGCCGCCCGGCATGAATTCGAGTAGTGCATTGACTTTATATGTAATAGCGCCGCGAGAAAGGCGCAACTCTGAACGCTGCACTACGGCTTCTCCCTTTTGGTGCGGGCCGTGACAGAAAAACTGAAAAATTACATGAACCATACAAGATGAAAAAAAAAAGAGAAGAAAAACAAGGTGTTTTGATGGTATGATGTCATTATATGTCAGGTTGGTAAATGTTTCTGTATATGGTGCATATTGTACTGAAGAAGAAAATTGTGAATTGACTCAAAATCGCATATTGTGCTAAAATTGTTCAGTCCTTTTACAAAGTATAAAAATGTGAGATGTGAGCTGCTCGCACCTGCCGATTCATTGAAACATGGCGTAAGCTAAAGTGGGGGCATCTAAAGAAGGAATACCGTACATCTGGAAAACGTCAATTTTGCTCTTACTTTCTTCTCCAGTATCTCAAGTTGATCTTTATAGAAGCTGGAAATGCTGGCCAACTCTTGTTCCTTCCTCTCCAACTGTCTGGCCTGTGGGACAAAAATAAAGGATAGGAACCTGAAGTTTGAGAAGGAAAATTAGGAAATAGATCAAACCTGCAACCTTCAGGGTGGAAGACAATGGAAGACAGGGTGCCACCCTAAATACTAATGAAGCTAAAACAAGTTCCAAAATATCGGGCGTCCCATTTGACGTCATTTGAAATGTCAATATTTGAATAACAATGTGTCCTTGGGCAAACAATATTAAATGGACTTTACATCGAAAAATACTTACTGATCACTTCCAGCATGATCATCACAAATCATTATCAAGTTTGTTGGTGCAAAATATTTGTGGAACGAAATATCGGGGCAAACATCCGATCCAATTAATAAATCCGTCCAACTGTCCAGAAAGGCAGGATTGGATGGATTTGGCTTCATTTGGTTGCCTAAATAATATGCATGAAACTAGAAGTTAGCCCTTGGAAAATGTAATCATTGGATATACTGTATTATTTATTTTTTGATCAATATTTATTCTGAAATGATAATCCATTCATTTGAAAGTTTCATTTTACCCTGAAAATTGTTTACACATAGTTTGTTGAAAAGCAGTGCAGTAAATATCCAAATGTTTTTACCTTCACACGATTAACAATTGTGATTACAATATTGATCAAAATAATTGTGATTATCATTTTGACCAGAAACGTTACAGCCTTAAAGTGTCCCAATACTTATGTCTTGACACAAAAAACACAATAAATACTTTTTTCCTAATGTCATTGTACAAGACTGTAATTCTAATTATAGACCGTGGCCCATGATGACAACAAGACAAGACAACAAACTGTATAATTGTGTTTTTCTTATGAGCACTCAAAGCAATACGCTTTTCGAAAATCACACGAAAATGCTTGGAAGTTCGAACGTGTGCATCTACTGCTTGCAACATAACTTACAAAATGACTTGCGGTGCACGCAGCAGTGGCAGCAAGAGCTGGCAGGGCTGATGGTGGCTTTAAGATGAGATGAAATGCTTTAACATGACCAGCGAGTCCAGCTTTTTACAGGTGGCAAGAAGGCTGAAGAAAGCGACGTTGTTTTTGGGCCATGGCAACATGCAAGCAAAGCAAGATAGAGGGTAAATGTCATTGAGGCTCTCTGTGCAACGCAAGACGCAGGTCTAACTGAAGACACGACCGTATGACGGACGGATACCCCGGCTGCTGACGGATGACGAATGACCGACTGGCAAAATTTAGTAAAATGCCTACTTTGAATATTTAATAATAAGAAATTATGTCGTGACAGGACTGTGACAGGACAGTGTGCTGTGTGCACATGCACAGGTAATGATCCACAAAAGGAAAGTGCTTGCACAGCTTTCTGTGCTCTTTACTGATAACATGCTCACACAGAGATTGACATTACACTTATTGTAATCCAGTCTTATCCCAACTTAACAGGCATCTGCATCCCTAAAGAGCACATCTGCAAATCCTCATACTGTGCTGCTCACTGCACTTTTTTTTTCTTACCGCAGCGGCTGTTTGATGCTCAAGGGCCCGTGTGCGTGTGTGTGTGTGTGTGTGTGTGTGTGTGTGTGTGTGTGTGTGTGTGTGTGTGTGTGTGTGTGTGCGCGCGTGTGCGTGTAAAATCACCTCTGCCAGCAGCACAGATGATGTGTAATTTTCTGGCTGAATACCTCCCAAAGTGTTGTTGTGTGGAATGGTGCTGGAAACACACTCACAGCCTCGCTTTAATGCACAATGAAAACATGACATTTGAATAGAGTGCGCGTATGTGAGAGAGAGAGAGAGAGAGAGAGAGAGAGAGAGAGAGAGAGAGAGAGAGAGAGAGAGAGAGAAATAAAATGAAAGAGATAGATGTAGGGAAAGAACAAGAAAAGGTGAAAGGCACCGACAATAGCAGTGTTTCTTACCCAGGCATCTAAATCGGCAGGCTAGGAGAGAAAAAAGGTTCAGGGTTGAGTACAAAAGTAGAAGGAAGTCAATGGGATGAGAGAAATGGTTAGGGTAGAAAAATGACAGTTGGGAAATGCATGAAAGAAAGGTATAATTTAAAAAAAAGGAAAAGGTTACACTAAACTGAAGTTAGTAGTGGTGGGGATGATGAAGACCATCACAAATAAGTCCACTGAAAGACGTGTTGAATTTCCTCAATTGTGCTTCACTTAGATGGCTGATTTTTTCCAACACCTCAAATGTGAATGCATCCATATCATGAGATGTTAATAAAAAAACACAATAATCTGTCTGATTTTATCACGAGTGCGTCCATCCGTGTGCACCCGGCATGGCTGCGTGTCATCCACCTACGCCCCCGCCGTATTTAACCTTCTGTCTTAGCTAATCCGCTTTGAACGAAACCCAACTCCTCATACTCCAGAGATATAAACATGAGCTAATATAAAGTCGACAAGATGCAAGCAGATACTTGATACTCAATATGTAAGACCCCCTTTAAACAGGGGCCAATAAAGTCAATGTTGGCTATTGAATTATTTTATGGCTCAACCATATAACTTAAAGGCCATCCAGCCAACAATAAAAAGAAAAGCTGAGCTATTACCTGCTACGTGCATACACAGCTAATAACCCCCAAAACAGTTGACGCCCACGTTTTGCATCGGCCTGATTGTACGGTACTGCACATATGTACCGTACACCCTTCATTTGGTAAAAGCACAGCCCTGAAAATGATTTTTCAGGCATTGTTAAGCTGTTCATCTTAGCATATCGCTGTTGTCCTGTGAAACACACGGTTAAACATTAAAACTTTTTTTGTTTTTTACATTAATGGGATGTACGAAACAAACAACAAAATGGACGTGTTTTTCAGACAGCCACGAAATGTTGATGTCATAACATCAAAATGGCTTGCAGGTTAATGGAACACTCTGAATTGTCTCCTAGGTGTGAGCGCGGATGGCTGTTTCTGTCTATATGTGCCCTGCGATTGGCTGGCTACCGGTTCAGGGTGTCCCCCGCCCACTGACCGAAGACGGCTAGGATAGTCTCCAGCACCCCTTCTGCGACCCTTGTGAGGTTAAAGCGGTTCAGAAAATGGATGGATGGATGTTCATGGATGTAATTTTTGTTTGCCTTAGGTTGTGCCATCAGGACACAAGCAGACATACAGTAATCTCTTGGCAACGAACATCCACAGTCAGCCAACCCAGAGTGTGTGTGTGTTCGTGCGTGCGTGCATGTCAGAGGGACATGCCGGGATGTTTTGGGAGGTTTTTCTCCCCAGCACCACTTAACATTGTGACAAATCTATTACCTAAGTAGGAAATCATGCAAATGTTACATTTGAATAAATGCTTGTGTTTGAGACGAGAGTTTTGGTGTGGATTTCTACTTGGGAGTCAGTAGAGGAGAGCTGATGCTGAATGGTCAGAATAATGATTAGCCAGTAGAATGTCACAGGCGGATGCATGTTTATGATGTCAAACTTCTGCTTTACTTTGTTGGAGTGTCTTTTTTGTTGTTGTTGTTGTAAAGCACCTTGTAACTTTTGTTTGGAAAGAAACAATGTTAATAAAGTTAGGATTCTTTTATGTCATCACACAATTTGGAAAGCATGTCCATCATGAGTTTTATGTTTGATCTTATGTGCGGCACTTTTTTAAAAGCTATGAATGAAGCTGCGTTGAGATGAGTATACTGACAAAAAGACAACAAGTATGCCATTTGGGTACAGTACTTTGAAGTCGGCAGTTTTTGGGAGTTTAGGCCATTTCCAGGCTTTTCAAAATAAACTTGAAGGGACGTTGTCCTTTTTCTACCTAATATGAACCGCTTATACGAGGTCTTATCTATTTTGTATGCATTGCTTTTGGTCAGAAAGCTAAACTTGAGGACTCACTTTAAAATATCAAACAAGGTCGGACCAAAAGGTCGTGTGTGTGTGTGTGTTTGTGATGAAGGCCACACTCTGCAGTTATCGCTGTAAAAGGGAGACTTCTTCCATTCTAACTTCTAATGGCCAGTTACCACAATCGTTGTTCTTTGTACGATGAGGGAAGGAACTCTTGACTATCACGAGACAGCAGGAAGGGAGATACACAGCAGCTTGACAGAGAAAGACGTCAGCTGAATGTGAAAAAGTGGAACATCGGAAACGAAACCAGACAAAACAAGAACAATTACAGCATCGAGCAAAGGTCGCCAACCTTTTTGAAAATGAGAGTGACTTCTTGGGTGCTGATAAATGCGACGGGCTAACACTTTGACACATAACTTTGAAAATCACACTTTTGATTAAATGACCTTTAATCATATTCGGCTGTTAATCATTTGTGATGCTCATCTATATGAATCTATATGCGTTGATCATGTTAATGATTTCTCACAATAATTGTCAACGGTGGTTGAGTGATAACGCAAAGAGATAAATGTCCAAATCCAAACCTTTCTTTCTTTAAATCTCAACAAGGGCTAACATTTTCAAGCGAGTACTCCTACAACCTTCCGTGGAAATCACAATTGAATTACTGGTGAACTACTCTTCCAAAAGGGCTCGAGTTACTCTTGCGGTCCTTGTCGATGGCTCTTGGCTGCGGGCATGATGTTGATGACCCCTATTAGAGAGTCCATCAAGACACGGATGACAAAACATAAACCGCAGGGGCTCCTGTCTTTCAAAGACTTGACTACCGGTAATTAGCATTAATGTATAGCGCGTGGCTCTGCAAAATTAAAGTTGCCGCAACTCACCAAGTCCCCTCAAGAATTTCAAGCAGCGCTCACCGCGCTCGCTGACTACCCCAAAAAAACAGGAGCAGATGGTCAAACTGAGATGTGTCAGGGTGAAGCCACTGAAAGCCACAAGCAGACCATCATCAGTCTGAAGACATGTGACACACACCGGCAACAATGCAGTCTGTTGTTTTCACTGTGCATCAAAATACTACAGTGAGCCCCGCATAATTTGTTGAAAAACTACTAATCTAATCTTCTATGAAGACCTGAGGACAATACGGTCCCCGTATGGGTTTGAATAAGAATTGCCTGCAAAACAAACACGATCAAATCGTTAGCTTCAGGGCCAAAAATAATTCAACATCGGACAAACTCACAAATTCCCACGCATCTTCCCCCCCGCTACCCCCGCCCGAGTTAAGAATATTCACTCCTGTGTCTGATATTTTATTCAATCATCCACTTAAATTTATAAGAAAAAAAGGGGGCTTTTTGAGTCAAATATATTATGGGGTGTCAAATACTAATGATTATTGTATTTGCAATTCACGACAGGGCCGATCCCATGAATAGCGAGAATTTTACGGTACTTGAACGCGCAAAATTTAGGAAGCTGATGGGCATCTATAAGAATGCACAGAGGTCGTTTTGGGGATGTGTCCTTTTCCTTCTTGACAATGATTAACCAGCACTTTAAGTGTTCCAGCTCAATCAATATTACATGTGAATTTGTGAGCAAGATTGAGGGAAACATTCCTCATGTGAACAACAGGTCTTGCCCTGCTGTCTTATTACATCACCACAGCTCACTGATGGGAGATGTATTCCACTCCTACGTGTTTTGTCCTTTAAGCTGCCAAGATTTGTGCCGGGGCGCTCCCGCCTCCGTCACAGCGCCGCACCGATCGAAATCTCGTCCGCCGGTGAGGACTCTCCTCGTCAGCAAATCACGTGTGATAGACTGAGTGCGTGTACAAAGGGCTTAGCGGCATTAACATGATGAAAAAATGTCACACCAGTGATTAGAGGAGCTGATAACACCCGGTTTAACCATGAGCGAATGTGTCTGGATGACTGTTAAAATTTTGTGGGCGCGTGACTCACAAGTTGAATCAGAACCATTTCAATGAACGGCAATGTTACCAATGTGTACTTGAATGTGCAAGATCCTTTCCCCTCCACATGCTTTCGTCTTTCCCCTCTGTGCACACTCTCCCTCACCTCCACCCCCGCCTCTGTCTTTGCTAACAAGCAATGCGGGCTATCTAGCTGAATGCCTGTCGGATCCAGACATCTGAATGTATTATATAGTGTGCTAGATAGCCCATCCCCGATGGAGCCTCGATTTGAGCCCTCTTGCCAGATGCTTCCGAGTGATTGCTTGTTCCAGCCACTGCTGCTACCTTACAGGGCTTACTATAATGCTCCAATATTCTCTCTATAAAAGCAAAATGTATTGATTTATGATCCATGTGGGAATAGAGCAGGCCTGGTATGCTGATTTGTGTGACCAATTTTGCTGGACGACATTCCTCTTTGTGGTGTGTCATCCAGAACCAAAATGCCACCAAGATGGTATTGTCAATTTTGAGCGAACACGTTTGTGGCTGGAAAAAAAAGAACAGGCAGTATTAACCTGCTTTATTTGTTAGTGGCATGGGGGAGATTTTTTTTTTTTTTTTTAATGGGGCTTAGGTTGCATCTTGTGTCAGTGCTGGTTTGCCACTTTCATTCATCAACGGTGTTTCGTGCGTGCCACTCAAGACAATGACATGTACCTGGAGAGCGGGGAGACACATTAGTCTCACATAATTCAAGTTATCACCCTGAATATTCGGCAGGCCGCGTACTAAAAATATGCCTTTGGTAAAAAAGAGAGGACAATCGGCTAATTATGCGCGGCTGTGGCAGAGGCACATATGCAAATTCGAGTGTCTTAGGCGTTTTTTTTAATAGCTCTGTGTGAACAAGGATCATTGAAATAAAAAACACAAAAAAAAAAAAAAAAACTCTCTCTAAAATTTTCTAAAATGTAAACAAACAAAAGCTCCGTCTTGAAAAATCATTCACATGTAAACATGGACTTCGTCAAATGCCCATCCTTAATTTCAACTGGCTTTTTTCCACCGTGGGGTGTGTGGGCCAGATGGCGATAGCTGTGACAGCTATGTAAATAGAGTGACTTCATACCAACACAACAGAGTGGATAACTCTCCGGTGACTTCAACAAAGAGGA